ATCAGGCTCCCTGCTCTGCGGGAAGCCTGCTTCTCTCTCTCCCACTCCTCCTGCTTGTGTTAACCTCTCTCACTGTGTCTCTGTCAAATAAATAAATAAAATCTTTAAAAATAAATAAATAAATTAGCTTAAAGAAAGAATTTCATAAAGAATACTCAGTTTGACTGCAAACATAAATTTCCCAGTGTAAGAAAGCAATGGGTGTATTTTGAAGATATCTTTGATTGTTTTTTAAAATAGCCATCTAGGGTGCCTGGGTGGCTCATTTGGTTAAGCAACTGCCTTCGGCTCAGGTCATGATCCCGGAGTTCTGGGATCGAGTCCCACATCGGGCTCCCTGCTCGGCGGGGAGTCTGCTTCTCCCTCTAACCCTACCCCCTCTTACGCTCTCTCTCTCACTCTCTCTCTCTCTCAAATAAATAAATAAAATCTTTTAAAAAAAATAAAATAGCCATCTATTCTAAAAAAAAATAGCCATCTGTTTGCAATAAAATCGTTACCAAAAATCTGCATTATTTTATTTAAAGTCTTTTACATTAAAATTTATTGTATATCTCCTTTATAAGCATATGGTCTGGGGAAGAAAAAGAATATATTTTCTCTTTTGTGTTAGCTTCCTTGACAGTAGACAAGAAATATACTTTCTATTTTGTTCTGATTGCTAGGAATCTTAGAACTAACTGTTGGGCTTTCGTTTTTTATTATCTTTGTTTGTGTGTGTTTATATGGGTGCATATATTTTTATTCTAACGTACTACAAATAATTTTTAGCACTTATCTTGGTACAAACAAACATACAAATAAAGATGTGAGAAATATTTTGGTTTTATAACAGATGCTCATTTTTATTTTTATTTTATTTTTTTTTAAGATTTTTTTTAAATTTATTTATTTGAGACAGAGAGAATGAGAGAGAGAGAGCACATGAGGGGGGGAGGGTCAGAGGCAGAAGCAGGCTCCCTGCCGAGCAGGGAGCCCGACGTGGGACTCGATCCAGGGACTCCAGGATCATGACCTGAGCCGAAAGCAGTCGCTTAACCAACTGAGCCACCCAGGTGCCCCAGATGCTCATTTTTAAAACATTCTTTGTTATTATGTTTTATTAAAAATGTCTTAAGACAGCTCCTTTTTTCCTCTCTTGGCAACTGATATGATTAAGTCAAAGTTATATTAATTTCTTTTTATATTATTTTTTCTTCTTTCTCCTCTTAAGAAACTTTCTCTTCTTCAGAAACTATTTTTTTTAAAAAATGGTATGTGCTATGGTGAGTGCTGTGAATTGTGTAAGACTGTTGAATCACAGACCTGTACCTCTGAAATGAATAATACATTATATGTTAAAAAAAAAAAGCAGGAAGGGAAGAATGAAGGGAGGAAATCAGAGGGGGAGACAAACCATGAGAGACTATGGACTCTGAGAAACAAACTGAGGGTTCTAGAGGGGAGGGTGGTGGGGGTATGGGTTAGCCTGGTGATGGGTATTAAAGAGGGCACGTTCTGCATGGAGCACTGGGTGTTATACGTAAACAATGAATCATGGAACACTATATCAAAAACTAATGATGTAATGTAAGGTGATTAACATAACATAATAAAAAAATGGAGATATTTTACTATTTCAGCCTAAGGGATATTTTAGAGCCATCACTACTACTGACAATGAACAAAGTTTGCATGCTTTGCTGAGGCACCATAGTTGCAATTAATCGTAAGGTGAATGTATATGGTGGTTTCAGTTTAATTCTTAATGGGCCATACTGTACATAATATAATTACCACAGAGAATTGATGAGTAGCATTTAATTAGCAGAAGACAGCCTAATCTTAAAGACTACAATATCTAATTTTTCAAAGACATAATAATTCTTAAGAAAAACACAAAGCATAGGAGAAATATAAAGCGGTATACTTACTTAGACTATTTAAGCACAGAACACAAGGGTAAATGGAAGGGAGGCTATTGACCTTGGAAGTATTCCTGGATAGTAGTAGTTAAGAGCAAATTAAGGGTCTGGCTGCCTGGTCTCACCTCCTATCTTCTCTATCTTAGCTTTGCTTCCCACATAGCAGAACCTGAAGCACTGTTGAATCACAGACCTGTACCTCTGAAACAAATAATACATTATATGTTAAAAAAAAAAAAAAAAGAAGAAGAAGAAGATAGCAGGAAGGGAAGAATGAAGGGAGGAAATCAGAGGGGGAGACAAACCATGAGAGACTATGGACTCTGAGAAACAAACTGAGGGTTCTAGAGGGGAGGGGGTAGGGGGATGGGTTAGCCTGGTGATGGGTATTAAAGAGGGCATGTACTGAATGGAGCACTGGGTGTTTTGTTTTTTGTTTTTTTTTAAGATTTTATTTATTTATTTGACAGAGAGAGACACAGCGAGAGAGGGAACACAAGCAGGGAGAGTGGAGAGGAAGAAGCATGCTTCCCGCTGAGCAGAGAGCCTGATGCTGGGCTAGATCCCAGGACTGTGGGATCATGACCTGAACCGAAGGCAGACACTTAACGACTGAGCCACCCAGGCGCCCCAGCACTGGGTATTATACACAAACAATGAATCATGGAACACTACATGAAAACTAATGATGTAATGTATGGTGATTAACATAACATAAAAAAAAAAAAAGAACCTGAAGCAATGTTTTCAGCGTCACCCACTACTTTACTTAAAAACAGAAGTGAGGGAAAAGAAAAATAAAAGAGGGAGAGCAAATATAAGAATGTGTTACTAACCTGGCCATCACTTAGCATCAAGATAACTCAAACTCAAGAGATTATCGTCCAAAAGATAAACTTTGCTCAGGATATTTATTCTGAGGTTTGGAGTAGAATTTAGCCTCTGGATCCCATCTTTTAATGATCAAATTTCACCTACTAGATTGTGATTTCATTTGCATTTCTGGGTTGGATATATGGTGGCCTTGAATATACTCACATCTCATTCTTCAGGGACCAGGAAAGTGCCAAAGTAGGAGATAAATGGTTTTCAGAATATCCATGGGATAAGACACAATTGGATTATACCTGCTGAAGGTGGTATAATCCCACACGCAGTGGGTTATCAGAATAGTGGCTTAGTCTGGAGCAAAGAGTCAAGTTTGCCAGAGATAGTGAGGTTGAGATAATCTCCAGTAGCACATGAGAAGTGTCTGTCTGACCAGTCCTCAGATCTACTGATGCATTCCTTAATATTCAGCTACTGAATATAACATGGTACCTCCATATTTGTAGGATGTCCTCACTTCTCTCCTAAGAGATGAGGTACATTTCCAATCAGTCACGAAATTTCATTTAGGGACATTATCTCCTTTAAACCAGTTCATCTGTGAAGCAGTCCTCATTTTATTTTTATTCTATATGGATTGTTGACAGGAAATACTCCCAGAAGGCCATAGGTATAACCTTGAAAGAGAATGTCAATGCAATTGAGGTTAATGATAAGGGAATTCTGACCACGTGTTCATCTGACTTTCTCATGCTTTCTAGATCTGCTCAGATCAAAACCCATATACCATTTGTATTCTACGATGGGTTACTGCTTTACATTCCCAAACTTATGATTCAGCAGGTCTAATAATACCCAAGTTAGGATGAGGAAGTGTGGTTACACAGACATCTGGCATCCCATGGTCAGGATCTTTCCATACTAGGACCTAGTAGAATACTAGAAGGGTTTTTTTTTCAATGAAAATTAATTTGTTGGCTGTAGAAAGCTTGACTTTGCTCTCCAGTCTATGATTCTACACATCAATTTTTCTTACGGGGGCTTGCCAGAGATTGAATATAGCATTTTAAATATACCATAGATATCTCTAGCACTATCAGATCTTCTGAGTCACATACTTTGAATGATAGAGCAGCTTGCACCATAGTTTGAATTTGCAGAATACTTTCTTGCTGTTAAGTTCTGCTAAAAAGTGTCATTTTATGAGTCATTCAATAAATGGTTCATAACAGTATTTTAAAGTATGTTATATGCTGCTTCAAAAAATCCAAAGAGGCCCACCAACTACTATAAGTAAGAAATGTGAGGTGCATTAAATTTTTATTCATATTAACAAAAATGTTCTAATATGCTCTAGTTGACTTAAACCCCTAAGGTATTCCCTGATATGACAGGATCCTGCCTCTTCAACAGGATTTTTCCTCACTCTCTGGAATTCTGCTATCTTCCTAGGGCTTATAGAACACTTGTTATTTCCTGATTATAGGGTTTAATTAGAGTGTTACATAATTATAGTAACCCAACATGATGTTTTGCAGAATAACAACAGGATCAGTGTTCCTGCAGAACATATCATGAGCATGAGAATTATTTAACATAGCCCTCTGACAACTGGTGAATGCTGTCCCTATTACACTATCCCTACTATGTGATGGCAAACTAGTTTTGGTCCTCCTTTCTGCTGGATCAAAAAAATGTAAATGCCAAATAAATTCACATGTGTCAAGTGCCAGGGGAATGTGGTATTGCATCAATAAATATAACATATTAAGCATGCAGTTGCACTTGGGGCTATATCTTAGGTAATTAAGGTAGTCATTCCATAGCCATCTATCAGTCAGGATCAATTTTAAAAAAATATTATTTATTTATTTGAGAGAGAGAGACAGAGAGCACGAGAGAGTCAGCACAAGAGAGGGGGAAGGCCAGAGGAAGAGGCAGGCTCCGTGCTGAGCAGGGAACCTGATGTGGGGCTCCATCCTAGGTTTCCGGGATCAAGACCTGAGCCAAAGGCAGACTCTTAACTGACTGAGCCACCCAGGTGCCCCTGGGATCAATTTTTTTAATTGACTTTCTTCTAACAGCCTAGTAGATGAATTGAATGGGAATATCATAGGAACCACTACTCCTGTTTTCCTTAAGTATTTGACGGTGATGCTTATCATTATAATTCCTGCAATATGGTATTGCTTTTATATATTCTCCAGGACAGTAGACAACTTCTAATTGGCTTTTTGTGTGTATGTGTGTGTGTGTGTGGCGGGGGTGGTTAATATGGAACACTTCGTGAATTTGCATGTCATCCTTGCGCAGGGGCCATGCTGATCTCTGTATCATTCCAATTTTAGTGTATGTGCTACAGCAACAAGCACAGTGTTGTTTGTTTGTTTGTTTGTTTACCAAAATGGTTCTTACTCCACAGATCATAGATCTATGTGAGGATTCTTTCAGGTGTTAAGTATATCAGAATTCAATTACCCACCTAGGGACCTGGGAAATAACTGTAGATTAGTTGTATGGACATGTTAGATACATTGCATTGTGACACAGTCTTGGGCCAAAACTCTACCTATCATCAGGCATCCAAGGTCTCTGTTCCTGGTATTTCAGTTCCTCCATTATCAGTCTCAGTTCAGAATCTTTATTTATCAATCTTTAATTCCTGTTTCCAACTATACAGTTATACTAGTATTGGCCACAAGTCCTTTTTGGACAAGATCAGGGAAGTATTTATCTAATTTACTTGCAGTAATATGGCAGAGTTCATTCTCAAAGGGACCTGGATTCCCCTTCAACCAATGGCTTTTTGGTCTGTGAACTGACTTAAGTTTGGAATTTTTGTGAGGAACCACAACTTTCCTTTTTGATGGCTGATGCCAGTTATCAGTTCAAAAGTTATCATCTTATTTATTTATTTATTTATTTATTTATTTATTTATTTATTTATTATAGGTCAAGAAACACACTACTCCACTTATCTATCTTTTCTCTAGGACACGATGATTTATTGCTATTATCACAGACATGTATATCAAGACACCCTGACTTCCGCTATAGCTATATTAGCTATTAGAGTAATTAAATCTTTCTTGCCCCTGAATATTAAGTGCTTCCACCTATACTTTTCTATTTCAGAATCCAATTATTCTTCCTTACCCTGGAGAGAGCATACTTTCATGGCATCATCTTCCACCGACATTCAATCTTATGGAGGACAGGAAACATTAAGTTGGTTTTTCCTTCATGCCCTAACAATGTTTCCATATTGCATTACCCCAGTGAAGGAAATGGCCTCTTTGAATACTATGGGAAAATAGTTTGATGGTACATTCTCAAGTTGTACATCACAATCCATCTTAACATCTCTATTCCTTGAGAATTTCTTTCTCCCTTCATATTTTGGCAAGGAGGAACTGACATTTCCACCTCATTCACTGTAGGCTAAGATTGTATTCAGGCTTCAAGGAGTCACCTCAACAGATTCTGAGGATTGACTCTACTTCATGTATTGACTCTCATTTTAGGACTAGTGGCTCAAATTCAATAAATTTTCCCACATCATTGTGTTTGCTGTGGTGTGCTTCCCAGTTCTGTAATCAAGACTGAGGTATGATTTTCCCTGGCTCTTGCCAGTGCTGGTCAATGCTTCACAGCTGAGTCTGTTTCTGAGTCTTGCCTTTGGCCACAGAGAGCTGCCTCAACAAGTTCTTCTCCCACCAGTGGTCAGCACACATAAATGAACTGAACTGCTCTATGAAGCAATCCACAAGCCCTTTCCCTTGATTCAACCTCAGACAAATTAGGTGCTCCAGATCTCTTCGTGGGATTGACTGAGACCCCTTCTTCAAATGTATCACAGCAGTTCAGTTTCTCCCTTTGCCCAATCCTGTTCTCCTCACCAGCAAACAAGTGATATTTCCAACAGCACTTTTCAGTAAAAGCTTGTATGCAAATCTCCATCTCAGAGTCTATTTCCCAGGGAAGTCAACCCATGCCAAACTTAATATTTTACAACTATGTTCTGACACTTTTAGGATCTACTACCACAATTATCCCACAGTTCCTATCCTGTACATGTCAATCAGTTCCTACAGTTCCAATCGGTGATTAAATAATTTTGTCCTGGAGAGAGTACTGATTCCCTTGCTTTGTAAGGGGACTGGAAATAAGTGTTGACCGGGCAGCTACTGAAGAGCACAAGAAATATTTTGGGAGGCATCTGCCTCCATGAGGTCTTCACATGTGTTCCAAGCTAGAAAAACTGCTGTCTTCTGTCAAGGGGGAAAAACTGTTTCTGCTTTTGTTCAGGGGAATATGGAGTTCAAAATTCTCAGTTCTGTCCAAAAACAACCCCCATCTCAATTCTCAAAAGCTTACTCTTTCCCAACTGCAATCCTAAACTAAATAGATGAGATCTCTCAAGGCAACATATTTGGTCTCCTTTGTATTTCTTTCACATTTAAAATTGAATCTTGGGTCCGATTTTCTGCAAAGTGCCCTGTACTCATAGATGTTAAGGCTCTGCATAAATGAAGCCATACAGGGCCTCTGGCTTTCACAGAGTGCCTCAAGTTGGCAATTGACTACTCTAAGCCTATAATTTTCTCCTTCAAAGATTCCAGTATCATTAACAAAAGCCAGCCCAGTCCGCAGTCCCTATAATTATCATTGTCCCATACCATATAAGCATATAGCCACTGCATATCCTAAGGCCTTATCTTCCACCTACACCTTATCCCAATTAACCACAAGGGAAAGCCTTAGTAATAGTGATGTCATGGTATGTCATGGTAATCATCAGCCCCTGTAACACTAGCAAAGGTATCCCTATTGCAATGAGACTGGTCAGTAATGCAGCTTTAATAAATTATCCTAAGGATCCACTTTCTAGGGCCATTGCTGATATCAACTGTCTTAGACTATTTCTTAGAAACAGAGCCTGAAGCAAAGACTTAGGTGTTAATGCTTTCTTCAGGAGTATGATCTTAGGGAGCAGGGGTGAAGGCAAAGGAAAGTGAGACAGGGAAAAAGGGAGAGCTGATTCAGGGGTGCAATCCCAAACTAACCACTGAAAAGTATTCAGTGTGATTGATTACTTTATCTCATGGGAATATCTCCCAAGAGGGCTTATTAATGACTGCTCCTCAGGACAGGCTATGCATGGGAAAGGAATGGAGAAGAATTTATTCTCTTCTTGCTGCTATCTCCTGTTGGTCAAAGCTTCACCTTCAGGGTTATAATGTCTTCCTACTTCTAGGTTGCTTTGGTGTAGGCACCAGATGCTCCCATGGAATCTGATGCCTCAGCATTAACAGGAAGTCTGGGGAAAGGGCAAAAGTTGTACATAGGGTCTATGAGGAGAAGAACAATAATGCTGAATTTGAATTTGGTCAGAATCCGCACAAAGGGGATTTCTGTGGCTGTGCCTGAGGGTGCAAAATTACCCAAATGCCTTTGGAACAGGTAAAGCAAAGAAGATATAAAGGAATATTTAAATGTCATCTGATAAAACTACTTACTAACTATGTGACTTTTTAAAATATGTTTTTAAATTTTTTATTGTTATGTTAATCACCATACATTACATCATTAGTTTTTGATGTAGTGTTCCATGATTCATTGTTTGTGCATAGCACCCAGTGCTCCATGCAGAACGTGCCCTCCTTAATACCCATCACCAGGCTAACCCATCCCCCCACCCCCCTCCCCTCTAGAACCCTCAGTTTGTTTTTCAGAGTCCATCATCTCTCATGGTTCGTCTCCCCCTCCGATTTCCCCCCTTTCATTTTTACTTTGTCCCTTTGTCTCCGTTGTTTCCTCTGTAACATGGAACTGATAATTGTACTATCTTAATTGGTTGCACTATGAATTATAAGATATCTTATTTGTAAATATTTGTTTACACTTCTTAGACCATTAATTAAGTATTAATTATTGTTGCTATTTCTGTGAAGGAAAATTTTGGCAACCTAGATGAAAACTTGAACTATCTCTAATTATTTAATCCTTTTTTAAAACACTGTGCATATAGAGTATCAGAAAAATATTTGGTAGAGGAACTTGGGGTATTTAAGTCATTAAGCAGTGAGGGAAATACTCATTAAATTCTGGGCCTGAATTGGTTTCTTATTTTTACTTAAAAATAGAGATAACCAGCTTGCAAGATAACCAATATAAAAGAAAAGAACATCTTTTTCTTTCTTTTACCATTTCCATAGAAAAATAAAAACCCAACCATACCTTTTTCTAGATTCAATTTGTACTAAAAATGATTGTAGACTAGTATGTTTGGAGACTCTTTCAAGGTTAAGACACCTACTCATATGCACATCATAGTAGAGATCAAAAGGTTTTGCCTTCTTGATATGCAGTATGTGTTCCTTCTCCTATCAGCAACTTAATTTACTCTTGAGAAACATCTGTCCCATTACTGGATTAAGTTAGTTAGGAAAGCTAACTTGTCTAAGTCTCATTCTTGGATCCAGGGGTGAAATGTCATGCTGCTCTGGCCAATCCATATGTTCAATTTCTCATAGTGATTGACTATCACTTCGCGACCTTTTGGCTAAGACCAAGTATAGTCTCATAGTGATTGACTCAGGAAGGATTACATGACCTGAAGCAGTCCAGTGAAGACCAATCTCAGTATCTGTTGGAGACATGAGTATCAGGGTTATTGAGGATGTAAATGTGAGCTTGAAGCTCCTATGCACATACTTCCTTTATGTTGGGAATTTTTGTCTGAATGATGCTAACAAAGTGAATGCAGAGTGAAATTATGGCAAAAAGGAAAAAATGAGGGGTGAATTTTTATGGAAATGTTTGAAGCCTAATTCGAAATATGCCTAAAGCTTGCATTATCCTTAGACTATCCAGTTATCACCACTACTACTATTTTTTTTATTTTTAACTTTTTTTATTATTATGTTATGTTAATCACCATACATTACATCATTAGTTTTTGATATAGTGTTCCATGATTCATTGTTTGCATATAACACCCAGTGCTCC